TTTCACACATTGAACTTGTCTGAAAGCATAACCTTGGTAGCCAAAGACATTTCCTGCCCTTGCCATGCTTCTCTGGCATCTACCATGGGGCTGTAAACTTGCAGCTGATTCATAGGTATGTTGCCTAATAACCCGTCTCCTTGTTTGGAATCAGCATCATTCCCTAACTCTGTACATGAATGAGATGATCTAAAGGCGAGTGAACATGAATCCAAGCAATCCTCTGTCCATCTGAGATGGGGAATGGGATGGCGGGAGATGCCTGGAAATGGTCTCTGAGGTGCCAGCGAAGCAATCCACTATCCATCTCTGAGACGAGGAATGGGGTGGCAGGAGATGCCTGGAAATGGTCTCTGAGGTGCCAGCAGTTATCATCGCAGGTTTTTGGCAGGTATAGACTGGCCAGGATGGTTAGATATTTGAAAACAGAGTCTAAAGAATTGTGTCATGTCCTGGCTGGTGTGGCTCAGTTGGCTGGGCATCATCTGTGCATCAAAAAGTCGCCCGTTGGATTCCCTATCAGGGCACATGCCTGGAATGCAGGTTGGATCCCTGGTCAGGAGCCTGCAGGAGGCAGCCCATCAATGTTTCGCTTTCATATCAATGTTTCTCTCTCTTGTTCTTCCCTCCTCCCTCTCTAAAAATCAATAAAAAGTCTTAAGAAAAAAAAAGAAAAAGAAAAGGCCTGTGACTAAAATAAAGTCACATTTTTAATAATCTTTGTACAGATGTGTGCCTCATTGCCTTTAACATTTGAACAAGCAGGTGTATTTTTTTAAAGGATTTTTGTTAAGAATGCATTGACTGAGTTTCGACAAACACCTAGACACATGTAACCTATCAAGATATGGAATACAGAAAGTTCTCTCATTTCCCTTCTCAGTGAATCCCTTCCCCAAGCCCCAGAGGCAACCCCTGTTCTGAATTTTTTCCACTGCCGATTAACTTTGCATATTCTAGCATCATGTAAATGAAGTCATACAATATACACTCTTTTGTGTAAGACTTCCTTAATAAAAAAAAATATAATTAATTAATTAATTAATGTTTAAAAAAAGACTTCCTTTGCTCTGAGTAATATTTGGGAGATTTATCTACGTTCTCTCCTGTATCAGCAATTTGTTCTTTGGTAGTACTAGTTGTACTGCTTACCAGCATTTATTGGCCTGTTCTCTGGATGGTCTCTGGGACTCTCTTGTTTTGGGCTGTATGAATAAAGTAGCTAGGAATATCACAGGTCTTTTTTTGTGGATGCATTTTCACTTTTATTGGTACAACACCTATGCGTGGAGCTGCTGGTCATAGGGTAGGTGTATCTTTCATTTTGAAAGAAATTACTGACCTTTCCCTGGCATGGTTGTGTCATTTTGTCCTGCCGGGAACCAGGCTGCCCCACCTCATCCTCTGATTGGCGGTGTTAGTCTCTTTAGCTGTGGACGTTCTGGTTAGTGTGCAGTGGTGTCCCCTTGTGATTTAAATTTGCATTTCCCGATGACAATGACATTGAGCACTTTTTCATGTGCTTATTGGCCATTTGTGTAAATATAAGTACCCTTCAAATCTTTTGCCCATCTTAAATTGGGTTGTTTGTCTTTCTGTTGTTGAATCATCACAGTTCTCTGTATATCCTGGATAACAGTCCTTTATCAGATACGTGTTTTGCCAATGTTTCCTCCAGATCTTTGGTTGGCTATCCGTTTTTTTTAATGGTGTGCTTTGATGAGTAAATGTTTTAATTTTGATGAAACCTAATTATTTTCTTTTATGGTTATTGCTTTCTTTGACCTAACAAATCTTGGCTACCTGTAAGTTATGAACATATTCTCCTATACTCTCTTTTGAAAGCCTTGTAGTTTCACCTTTTATATTTGGGATATTTATTTTGCCTTTTCACTAATTTTAACCATGTTTCAAGAATAGACCTTCTAAGCAATATAAAATGCCCAGTTAAAGTATACTTTTATATATGAACAAATAAGTTAATCAGGTTGAGAGAAACCTATTAGATCTTTCCTGAGAAAGTGTGTGCAAATACAGAATTACTGAAAGACCAAACCCTCTTCCATGTTCATGTTTTGTTTTCTAGCATACGGTTTAAGAATAATAAAGGATTCATTGATTCAAGAGCAACCTTGACTTACAGAGGTGGTTTAAACATGCATTGTTCAGTTAAAGGAAAATTGACCTTTCTATGCATTTGTATGTAGCGGTGAACAGCAGGGAGAGAGGAGTAGCACCCACACCTCCAACTTCAGTGTGCCCGCACATGGAACTTGAGAGGAAAGTGAGGATAGAAACCACATCCTCCTTGATTGCTCAGGAGAAAGAACTTTACTTCTCATGTTCCCAAGTTGTCCTTATATTGGTGGTGGTGAAAAATGGCACCAGGTGTTGGATCAGTGGAGTCTGACTGGACCTTGGTACTTGAGTCCTGGCTAAGAAAGAATTCAGAGTCAAGACTCAAACTATAAGCAAGAGTTTATTTAGAAAGTCACAGAGGTAAAAGACGTGAGCCATAGAAGAAATGTGTTCAGGAAACAAGTTACACAGACAAAAGAAGAGGCCCCTGGATCTGAAGAGAGAGAGAGAGGGGTAAAGGTAAGGTGTGGGCGTGCTCCCCAGAGGTAGAGCACACTGAGTCCTCCTACCTTAGGGCTTTCCAGGGCAGGGATTTTAGGGGAGGTCCCAGGGAAGGACCTCAATAGAATATTCATCAGTGCTCCAGGCGTGTTCTTTCAGGGTCTTGGTCCCTACTGAACGGTGGTGCCTGGGCAGGGCTTCCCTAGTCAATGCAGCTGGTCCTGCGGTCAGCCAGGACATCACTTGTCTGGTTTCGCTACCCCCACTGGGCCTGGAACTGGAACACTCCTGAGGCCTAGACGTTATCCCCAGGGGTTAATGCTCAAGGGAGTGGGGCTGAAAGGGTGCCCAGGGGAGTCACTTGAGGCCATTCTTTGGCTCCTTGTTCCTCCTCCAAGGGGGTTTACGGCACAACTAGTGACATGCCAGGAGAGGAAAGGTCCGGGGTGGGGTTGGGGGGTGAGGAGTCCAAACCCCCTGACCAGTGATATGCTAGTGGAGGAAAGGTTACCCTGGGGGCAAGGACTTGGTTTTCCCAGGTTTGCCAGCTGTTGAGCACCCACGGCTTTCTGCCTGGTGACCTTCTGGCCCTGGCCCATTGTCCCTGCTCTGCTCATATCTGTCTAAGTGCCCGCCACACTTTCACTTGTTCTCTTCTGTCTCACACATCGGACATGATAGTCAGAGGGTGGCTGGCCACACTGCTTCGGGGAAATAGTGTAGCTTGTGTTCCTTTGCACGGCCTGGCTCCCAGCTCCTCATGGGCAGAGGCATCTGGCACCCAGATTAATGAACAGGCCATCTGATAGTCTAGCTAACACTGGTCAGTGGCTCACTTAAACTCTCATGTAACATTTGCTCCGAAAATGGGTTTTCTGAAGCTTTCCACTTAAATAACTGTGGGTTAACTTTTCATGGGGCCAACATAGTGGAAACTAAGCAGAATGTATAACCCCGGACTGTTGGGAAGCCTCGCATTGTCACGGTTCTGCCTTAATTCGCTGCGTATTACTTCCTTTGTGATTTGCAACCAAACTATTCACTTTTCTAAACTATTCACCTTTTAACGTCTGGAAATGCTTAAAGCATTTGGACATTTGTTCATTTTGTGTAAGCCGTACACCCAAACAGGTTAAGAATATATTTGCCAAAGCAAAGCGTACTGCTCTAAGAGATCAGGCCTGTGCTTTCAAAACGTTTTTCTAACTTAGACAAGCCATCAAATGCTAGTGGTCGTGTTTCTAATGCAATTCTATTGGTGATAACATTCCATGTGATGATGCCTCCCCCCAACAAAAGTTATTTTTTTATGAACTTAAAAAAGTTTCTAATATAAAGGTTATATTATCAACAAATGCTAGTTTGAAAGAACCAAATAGGATTGTGAAGATTACCCTTCTTGAACAATGCCTTAAATGTTTATCTCCTTACTCGTTCCTCATTGCTTTCTTTCTCAAGACATTATGGTTTATTGTGTCTCCAGCAGGTACCTTCTATGTGATTTACACAGTGAATGGCCCTGCTTTCCGAGCAAGTTAATGATATAATATCCCCATTTATATTCAGAGCAGTCAACACTTTCTAGCTCTCAGAATAATAAAAGCACCTGCATTTAATATACATGGAAGAATGGGAAGGCGAATAGCAGATAAGGCACAATCAGGTAAGTGTAATCAGATAAAATATCACAATATTATAGTAGATCAGCATCTGGTAATGACTTGAATTTTGAAAGACTGACAAGCAGCATGGCCTAAAGCAGCCAGGCGTGCCTCATTCAGAGCGCCTCTTCCCAGAGCTGATTGCTCCTCTCGTGTTTTCCCGCAGATTAAACAGGTAGGGTTTCTTAGTTTAACTCTTGTTGAGCTGCGTCGTGCCGCTGGAAAAACACTGGCAGTGTCCCTGCTGAGCCCAGATCTCGGGAACAAACAGAAAGGACGCATCTCAGAGTAAAACCTTGCATCGCCCAGCAGTTCCCTCAGATTGATTCAAATCAATTTTATTTAACAAAAGAAAGCTGAGATGCATCTCAGAGTAAAACCTTGCATCGCCCAGTAGTTCCCTCAGATTGATCCAAATCAATTTTTTTTTTTTTTTTTTTTTTTAATATATTTTGAGCATGGGCAGAGCTCTCATTTTCATCTCTGTACTTGCCTACATGGTGTTGACATTTTCTTCTTTTTCCTTTTTTTTTAAAGCAGGAGAAAACAGTTTATTAGAAACTGATTTGTCTCTCAGACCTCGCTGCCTGTGCTGGCCTTGCCTGAGCCCTCATGTCACAGAACCATCTGGTGTCCCGTGGAAAGCTGCAGGTTTGCAAAAGTCAGAGCTGAACAAACCTGGTTTGTCTAGTGGAATTTAGCAGTTTCTTTCCCTTTGAAGTTCCTCTGTGCTGGAGGCCAGTGACCTCCCCAGTTAACTCCCGTTTGCTGGATAGAGACCTGGGGAGTCAGGTGCAGGCTCAGGCCTGCCCTGCATTGGCCTCCCGAGTGGCAGGGCCCGGCCCCTTCCCGCAGGGACCAGGAGGAGCCTGGGCTCCTGTCTGCCGCCTTCGGAGCAGGACGTTCGGTAGACAGTGGAATTCACGGCTCCATCTTCTGAGAAGGCCTGTGTTCACCCTTGTTCCTCAGAGCTTCTGCTTCTGTTTGCTGAACTAAGCGGGGCAGCCTGGGACACTGGCCAAGGGGAGTCTTCTCAATGAAACTTTCATAACTGTGAGTCTGAAGCAAAGGGAATAACCATCCATTGCATGTAGAACAACTCTATGTTTATGGTAATGACTCTTTCCAAAGGTCTCTGTCCCTCCACCAGGTTTAGTGAGCTCAGCCTGTGGTACAGAATACTGTAGTCTGGCTGCCTTAGACAGCAGGCATTATTTCTCATCATTCTGGAGGCTGAAAGTGTGAGGTCAGGGTGCAGCATGACAGGGTTCTGTCAGGGGGCTCTCTTCCTGGCTTCCAGACAGTGGCCACTTCAATGCGGGGTCACGTGACCTCTTTGGAGACAGAGGAAGAGAAATTCTCTGGTGTCTCCTCTTATAATTAAACGAATCCCATGAGGCCCCACCAGCATGACTTCACCTAAACCTATTCACTGCCTGAAGCCCCATCTCCAAACACCATCCCATTGGGGGTTACGGCTTCATCATAGGAATTGGGGAAGACACAATGCAGCCCACAGCATTGCCCAATGGTGTTATTGTGGCAACGTTGGCAAGTAATTGTATCGTTGTGGCTGAGACAAAGAAAACTGCTCTCTGGCCCAAACGGTTGACATGCAGAGTATATTTTAAAAATACAAAAGATTATGGAGCAGTTCAGTCCATGATGGAGTAAATGTCCATCAGTTGGAACCTTCAGAGATATTGAACACTGAAAACACCTCTCCCACACCTGCACTCACCCCTCCTGCCACACCCGCTTTAGGCTTTTCCGAAAAGAGATCCCAAGAGAAAGTGCTTGTGTCAGGAATTCAATGGAAAATGGAAAGTAACTCTCAAGATGTTTATGTTGTCAACATTCTCTTGTACTTTCTATTATACTGTCTACCCTTGCAGTAACATGGACTGATCACTGATCAGAATGATGAATTAACTTAACCCCCCGAGGGAGCTTTATTCACCCAAGAAGTTGTTATGTATATTCTGAATACCAAGGATGGAACGAGAACTAATTTTCAGAAGATTTCGAGTGGCAAGAGTGGAAAGTAAGAAGGAGTTGGTGGAG